CAAATGACTCCTGGATAGTATATTCCCTCATTTTTTTCTATATTTGTAATAAGATGTCTATTGTTTTTGTAAAGTGCATTATTATTCCCTTTTCCACGGAAGGATTATTTATCTCTATCCAGTTGACTTTAGAATGTTTTTAAGAAGAAAAGAGCAATTAGCAGCATTAAACAGGTAACTTAAAGAGAGATTTGTGGGATTAAGCAGAACAGTGGGTAGTGATGAGAAAGCAAATGTATACTTAGCACTTGCTTGGGTCCACATACTCACTTGTTCAACATTAAGTAAGCATATCTAGCTACTATTTATTGGGCTAAGGCAGGCTTCATAAATTAATGCCTGAATTTGGTCCTTATGGAGGACTAGGCAGTTGAGTGCACTGGTGCATGCCTGTAATCCCAGTGACTTGGGAATTGGAGGCAGGAGGATCACAAGTACAAAAGCAGCTTCTGAAATTTAGTGAGGTGAGATCCTGTCTCAAAATAAATTAAAAGAAAAAAACATAAAGAGGGCTGGGGATATGACTCAGTGGTTAAGCACCCCTGGGTTCAATCCTTGGTACAAAAACAAACAAACAAACAAACAACAACAACAAAAAACCCCAAACCAAAACCAAACAAACAACAGGCAATTGCCAGACAATAGAAGAGGCAAGGTGTAGCTGTATAGATAAAAGGGGAATGACTAATCCAGGCTCAATGTTCCAGACACACACTTGGAAGCAGTGAGCAGCATAGCATATTCTGGAAACTGTAAGTAAGCAGTTTGACACTATACATGGTTAATTCATTTAAACCTCAAAACAGGGCTGGGGATGCAGCTCAGTAGCACAGCACTTGCCTAGTAGCATGGGTGAGACCCTAGATTTGATCCCCAGCACTGCAAACAAAACAAAACAGGAAAAAAGCCCCAAGCCCTCAAAACAATTTTGTGGGGAGGTATTATTATCTGTATTTTACAGATGAAGAATCAGGCTGAAGATCTTCTTGTGTAATGACCTTACTAAATCTGTGATTCTAAACATAACTCAGAGGAAGGGCTCTGGGATGGAATGAACATCACTTTTTCGATTTTTTATTGCCATCAATGAATATATATTAATCATCCACAAGATTCTTGGCATTTCAGCACAGGATAGGATAGGACAGTTACTGCACTCATGGAATTCACAATCAAGGACAAGGCAAATAAACACTGATAATGTGGTTATAAAACCTAAATTGTCCATAATCAACCAATTGAAAACCTTTCTAGAATGTAAAATAATTGATACCTTCATATCCATTTGATACAGGTTCTTCTCTTTAAATTCTCCTGGGTTTGGGCTGGGGTCGTGGATCAGCAGTAGAACCCTTGCCTAGCACATGCGAGGCCCTGGGTTCGATCCTCAGCACCACATAAAAATAAATAAATAAAATAAAGGTATTGTGTCCAAGTACAACTAAAAATAAATATTTAAAAAAAATATTGCTTAGTTGTAGATGAACACAATATCTTTATTTATTTATTTTCATGTGGTGCTTAGGATAAAACCCAGTGCCTCACATGTGTGAGGCAAATGCTCCACCACTGAGCTACAGCCCCAGCCCTAAAAAATAAATATTTAAAAAAAATATTGCTTAGTTGTAGATGAACACAATATCTTTATTTATTTATTTTCATGTGGTGCTTAGGATAAAACCCAGTGCCTCACATGTGTGAGGCAAATGCTCCACCACTGAGCTACAGCCCCAGCCCTAAAAAATAAATATTTAAAAAAATATATCCTGGGTTGTCTGAAGTGGGGTTAAGCTCTCAGATATAAGGAAAGTAAAAGGTGAAATAATACAGAACAGAAAACTAATGAAATTTCCCAATAATCTTGCCCTAAAGGCATTTATTTATTTTTTAATATTTATTTTTTAGTTTTCGGCAGACACAACATCTTTGTTTGTATGTGGTGCTGAGGATCGAACCTGGGCCGCACGCATGCCAGGCGAGTGTGCTACCGCTTGAGCCACATCCCCAGTCCAAGCTAAAGACAATTATTAAGGCCAGTAAAGTTTCTTGAACTGCTTTGCTTTCCTACAAACAAAATTCCTTTCCTGATTTTCTTTGATTATAGGTAGCTTTTAAACTTTAGTTCAGTTTTTTTTCTGGGTAGCAGTGTGAGGGCATGGGCAGAAGGGAAGAGATTTCTTGTGCTTTAGAATGAACAACTTTTTTTTTTTTTTTGAGAGTCACACCACCAATACCTTAATTTTTTTATTTGTTCTAATTAGTTATACATGACAATAGAATGCATTTTGATACATCATACATAAATGGAGTATAACTTGTCATTCTTATGGTTGTACATGATGTAGAGTTACACCAGTTGTGTAATCATATATGCACATAGGGTAATACTGTCCTAATTCATTCTATTATCATTCCTATTCCCATACCTCCTCCCCTCTGTCTAATCCAAAGTATCTCTACTCTTCCCTATCCCCTATTCCCCTTATTATGAATTAGCATGTGCATATCAGAGAAAACATTGTGTCTTTGGTTCTTGGGAATTGGCTTATTTCACTTAACACGATATTCTCCAGTTTCATACATTTATCATAGAATGAACAGCTTTTCACCATGCCTTAGTTGGGTCTCAACACTTTGGAAGCCCTTCAAAGAAAGAGAAGTTTATTCTGTGGTAGCCTTGGTGACGTTAATCTGGTGCAAAAGAAATTATATTGTGCCTTTCAGTTTACTGAAAGGTAATCAACAAACTTGAAGAGTAGCCTCTACTGCCATTATAATCTGTATTTCAAATATACATTGCATTTTAGTTTCAATGAAGCTAATGAAAGATAAATAGATTTTAAACTTTCAAGATATACTTTGTCCTATTTCCTAAGGGTTTTTTTTTTTTTTTTGCTACTACATTTTTGGGGAGTGTAACTCAGAAAAATGGTCATCAATCTGCTAACTAGTTTTTCCAATTGCTAGGAAAATATTAATCTGTCTTAGTTTATTTTACAACAGCATACTCCTATTTTCTGTGAAATGTTTATATTAAACAGTAAAAATTTCATAATTTTAAGTCCTGAAGCAAAAATCAATAATGCAAATAGAAAAGACAGTGGAAAGAATCTGACACAACTTTCCTATGTACATAATATGAATACACCACAGTGAATCCCACCATCGTATATATTCACAAGACTGGAACCCTAATTAGGATAAGATATATTCCATGCATGTATAATTTTATCAAAATTGATTCTATTTCATGTATAACTAAAAATAACCAAAAAAAGAAAAGATTAAAAATAAAACATTTGGGGTTAGTATTATTTTTGTTATTCCTGATTAGTGAGTAAAGCCAGGCTGCTTGACTAAATCTTCAATTTAATCATACAAATCAAACTAATTAAAAAATCAATAATGCAATAATTTTCACAATACAGAGTCTTGGAGAAGAATTTAAGAAATTTTATATTTTTAAGTGAAAATAAAGCTGTTGCACCACTTTGATGTTTTACTAGTGGCTTTGCTTTATTGAAGAGAATATGGAATACATTAGGGATAAATTTTCCTTTTGAAGAAGATTAGATATAGTTAATTCTGTTTTCACACTGGAATATCCCAATGTAAATTTTCAAAAGGATTTTTGTAGAAAGAAGCATAGGAATTCCAACTAGGAGGTAAACAGGCACACATTTGGGAACTAGATTGATCATTATTATCCTACACATGTTTTTATTTCATTTGCAGCACTGGGGATTGAACTCAGGGCTTCACACATGTTAGGGATGCCACAGCCTGGCTGAGCACAATTCATGAGCCACTTGTCAAGCAGAATGAACACACACCATACCACACAGAACTCTTCAGGAATTCCCTCAGAGCCCAATTGCCACCATTGGCTCTCCGGGGCCAGCCTCTCAACCACTCTTGAGCCCGATTGGTTGGGTTGTGTGGGGGGAGCCAAAAGAGTCCCCCAATGAGCAGATCCGTGGTCTGAAAGGGCTGGGAAACAGCCCAATGAGCAACACTGTAGAGGAGCCAATCAGCTGGAAGTTTGCTGGGGCCCCAGCGAACCAATCAGCTGGAAGTTTGCTAGGCCGCTTGACTGTGGCTCTCAACAAGGGAAGAACCTTACCACTGAGGGACATCCCCAGCCCTATCCCATACAGATCTTTAAGAAACAAAATGAAGGTGGTGAATGGCCTTAATTGCCACAGAAAAGTTACTACTTGTTTCCCTAGTTGAATATGATCAATAATCAGCCTGAAGGGAAATATTTTGCTTTCCAAACACCCATCCTGTTGTTTGTTTCATAATGGTACTTAGGAGGGTATTACCAGAGCATTTTTTAAAATTATGTAATTCACAACTTAATTTATTCATTAAATAATTACTGACTGCTTAATCTGTGTCAGTCCCTAAAGGATGAAATGCTACAGAAATAATAAATCGACAATGCAAGATGCAGCTCAAATGGCAATATTCAGTTGGTCATTCCCTTCTCTGTGCTTCTATACCGTGTACAAATTTTTCAATGCTTGTGTGCCTATCTACTGAGCGCTCTGAAAAGGTAGAGACCCATGGCTTTCCTTTTTTTTTTTTTTTTTTTTGTATTCCACAGAGCCTTGCACATGCTACAGATCAAACAGGTGGTCGATAAATGTTAGTCGAAATGAAGAATTTAGCATTAGATTAAGACAGTACCTGTCCAAACGCTAGATTCCTTCCTTAAAAATAGTAACTGTAATTTACTGTTATCCTAAAACTTGTATTATCATGAGTTGATGAATTTTATTTATTCAGATTATATTTCATGGTGGTTCATCAAGATGGTGTATCAGGCTAATTCAGAGTAGAATTCAAACTTGCAAAAGAAAGGAAACCTATATAGTCACTAATGGTTTTTATGCCCTACGAGCTTATACTGAATTTCGACGAATGCGAGTAGCACCCTTTCCGCTCCCCACTGCTAGTGGCAGCCTTACCTGATCTTTCCCTTTCCTTTTCCCACCCTTTTGCCCTCCGGAAAGAGCTTCAAGAACTTCGCAGTCTTCCTCCGCCCCTTTGCGGAAAGAGCCGAAGGCTGAGTAGGGTGCCGAAGCGGAGTCGCGTAGAGCTCGGGGCCTTCCGGAAACCCTCGGACTGCACTCGGAAGAGGAGGGCGCCTCTGACTTCAGAGCTTCGCCCCCGCGCTGTGCCCTCTGTCGGTGGCGTGGGGCAGCTGTAGCAGCCGTGGCGGCAGGAGGCGGTAGCCGCGTCGACGTCGACCAAGACTGGAGCGACGTTTAAAGAAGCAGCAGAATCGCCCGGGAGTCCGGCTTCTTGTTGTTGGAGGACTCCCACCCTTCCGCGGCTGAGGAGCAGCGGCGGCGCCAGGAAGCAGGTGAGGACCCGGCCCCAATCCGGGAGGGGGCGAAGGAGCGTGCCTGCCTCCTCGGTCCCTGGGCCGCGCCTGCGTTTGCTTTCGCCTCACTTGAACCAGGAAGCGGCGGAGTCTTAGGCTCTGCTCCTCCGGCTCTTTCTTTGTGTGGGTCGGGGAGCGAAGGAGGGGAAGAATCCGGAGGGCCGCGGCGTGGTCCCTTTCGCCGTCAGAGGCTGAAGGGTTGCCGGTGCCCTGGGTAGGCCCCGGGGCGTGGGGACCCCACCATAGAAACCCACTTGGCTTTACCTCGCCCCGCTGCCTTCCTTTCTGGGCCTCTTTTTCTCCGCCCAGTCCCTGGTTTGATTTGGAGCTTTCCTGCCTGGCCCATCCTCCCCTTCCGTCCCCTTCCTGGGGCATAACAATGCCGCCTGCTTAGCCTCGCCCCCCCCACCCCAACACCGCACCCTACTGTTCGCCACCTTCTACTTTCCTCGGCACCCCTTACTCCTCCCGCCCTCACTCCACTGTTTGTACCTCCATCTATCTGTATTTGCAAGGAGCTGGGTTTCCACGTGAAATGGGGTTAAAAAACCTCAGTTGCAGCTGGTAGGGTGCAAATGGAGAAGAGGGAGGCGGAGGAAAGGAGATGGGGGTTCAGCTGCTGCAGGGAGCCGCGTGTCGGTTTGTTTCACTCTCTCGCGGATGGCTTTTCTCTCTTTTCCGCTTTAACCAGCCCCACTGAACCTGCCCTCGATCAAGGATTTGTCACACAATGATGTGAAATGGCTTTTCCACAGTCAGGTTGCCAATCTTGGGGGAGGAAGGGTGCAGACCAACTTGTGTTGACCTGGGCCCACCCTGACGGGCAGGAAAGGACCACAAGTCAAATGAAACCAAGTCCCAGTGTCACCTAGACACATACATTTGACGCATTCCCACATGGGAAAAATTATTTGCAAACAAATTATTTGCAAACAAAAATCGTGGGAGTGTAGTCAGACAACTCATCTCTCCACTTAAAAGTGACTTCTGACGAAATCCCCATATTTCGGAAGCCCTGGTTGTTGGCACTCCAAAGGTCACCCTTTCTGATGAATGCCTTTGGTAACCTAGAATTCCTTGGTACTGTTAACCAGGCAACACCTAACAGATGATGTTTTATATCCTTGATTTTTAGGCTTTTTGTTTGTTTGTTTGTGCTTAAGCTATAATTTTGAAAAATGAATTTGAGATGTTCTGCCTTTCAAGTGTGTTAACTGTGATAGTGATACTCTGGGTAACTTCAAAGGGAAAGAATATTAACAATAAAAATATATCTTTACTAAAGGTATTTATCAATAATGGCTGATATCCACATACACACACATATACACGGTGTGTATGTGTGTGTTGGGATTTTTTTAAATTTTTTACAACTTTGGCATCATTGTTACTGGAGATGTCTTTTGTTAAGTGCAAAAAAAAAAGGTGCTTTGGAGGTGGTACACAGCAGTGTGATTTAATGGCATGCCCCACACTCTAAAGTAATGTCTCTTCTGTTCCAATAAGTTAATGTTTTCTTTTTTGGTGATGCTGGGGATTGAACTCAGTGCCTCACACTTGCTAGGCAAGCACTTTACCACTGAGCCACATCCCCCAGCCCCCAATGTTTTCATTTTTGCTAACTCATTTGGCAAGAAAAAGTTTTCATACCAATGCAGGATTTTTTTTTCCCCCAGAGTACTGGGGATTGGAACCAGGGGCAATCTACCACTAAGCCACATTCCCAGCCCTTTATTTATTTATTTATTTATTTATCTATCTATCTATCTATCTATTTATTTATTTTGACAGGGTCTTGCAGAGTTGCTGAGGGTCTTATTAAATTACTAAGGCTGGCCTTGAACTTGCCATCCTCCTGTATCAACACCCTGAGTTACTGGGATTACAGGTGTGCACCACTGTGCCTGGCCAGTGAACATAATATGTTTATTTATTTGTTTGCTTATTTTTGCAAGTACAGGGCCTTGTGCATGCTAGGCAAGCACTCTATCACTGAGCTGCACCCCCAGCATGTTTTCTTTTATTTTATTTTGAGACTGGGTCTTGCTAAGTTGCTCAGGCTGGCCTTAAACTTGCAATCCTCCTGCTTCAGCCTCCTGAGTAGCTGGGATTACAGGCGTGTGCACTCACTTCTTAACCAACAAAGTGAAATGTTTCAGTTTTTCATACAAATAAGCATTAAGAAATGGTATGCTTTCCTTTTACATTATCTGTTTTTTTTCATGATAGCATTTGTTAATGGACTTCACTCAGCACTCTTTTTTTTTCTTTTCTTTTTTTTCTTTTTTTTTGGTACCAGGGATTGAACTCATGGGGACTTGACCACTGAGTCACATCCTAAACCCATTTTTGTATTTTACTTAGAGACAGGATCTCACTGAGTTGCTAAGCGCCTGGCTTTTGCTAAGGCTAGCTTTGAACTCACAATCCTCCTGTCTCAGCCTTCAGAGCCTCTGAGATTATGGGCATGCTCCACCCCTGTGGAGACAATCCGTTTTTAACATTCCACTTCTGGAGATTGTAAAGTAGAGGTGAGGTGGATGGGCAAGGGGATGAAAAAAGAGAAAGGGACAAAAAAGTATTTAATAGTTCATCAAGATGAGGCACCCCAATTTAAATAAGAACAAAAAAGTAATTGAGTTGTGAAATAATAATTGTCAGCCTTTGTAGTGTCCTTGGCTGTGGAGAGTAGCTTTTTAATATAATCCTAAAAATAGTTAAAATTTAGATGAGTAACCGATGTGATTCTGCAATCTGTATATGGGGTAAAAATGGGAGTTCATAACCCACTTGAATCAAATGTATGAAATATGATATATCAAGAACTATGTAATGTTTTGAACAACTAATAATAAAAATTAAAAAAAAGAAAATTTAGGAAGAGGATGTATTTCAGATTCAGTATTGAATACTGACATTTAAGTCATTCATTACAGATGAAATAACTATTATGCATTTATGGTGAGGATTTTCCTGAAAACAATTTTTAAAAATATTTATTTTTTAGTTGTAAATAAAATACCTTTATTTTACCTTTTATTTACAACTAAAAGGCAAACAAACGCTCCACCGCTAAGCCAAAACCCAGCCCCTCCTTAAAACACTTTTAAGACAGCCAAATTAACCCTTGCCTGGTATGGTGGCTCACACCTGGAACCCCAGCACTTGCAAGGCTGAGGCAGGATTACATGTTCTAGGTGAACCTTCATGACTTAGCGACACCATCTCAAAATTTAATTAAAATGGTGAGGTGGGGGGCTGGGGTTGTGGCGAGAGTGCTCGCCTAGCACATGCAAGGCCCTGGGTTCGATCCTCAGCACCACATAAAAATAAATAAAGATATTATGTCCAACTACAACTAAAAATTAAACATTAAAAAAAAAGGTGAGGTGGGGGCTGGGGATATCTGTTGCCCAGTGGTAGAGATCCTCTGGCTTAAATCCCCGGTACTCTTAACAAACAAACAAAAGCAAAAAAATATCCCTCTTAGCTCTTCTTGAGGAGGAAACCCCAAATTGGGACTAAGTAAATGAATTCTAATCTTTAAAAAACTCCTAGTGGAGATGCATGTATCAGATTCAAAGGAAGGTGACTATGGAGATTACTGTTCTAATCTGTCTAGCAATTTAAAACTTGCTTGACTCTTTTCAGGGAGAAGTCATGAGATTTGATACATCGTCCAAATGCCGGTCTGTATGAACAGTTTCTGAAAAAGCCAAAAAGTTATGTCAAACTTCTGTTAAAACTTGATAAACTATTTAACGATTCCATGGCTTAAATACTGAATGATGAAGTACTTTTGTTTTTTTTTTCTCCCTAATCCTTCCTTGTCCCCTCCCCCTCCCTTTCTCTTATAGGCATGGAGAGTAGAAAACTGATTTCTGCTACAGACATTCAGTACTCTGGCAGTCTGCTGAACTCCTTGAATGAGCAACGAGGCCATGGACTCTTTTGTGATGTTACTGTTATTGTGGAAGACCGAAAATTCCGCGCCCACAGGAATATTCTTTCAGCTTCTAGTACATACTTCCATCAGCTCTTCTCAGTTGCTGGGCAAGTTGTTGAACTGAGCTTTATAAGAGCAGAGATCTTTGCAGAAATCCTCAATTATATCTATAGTTCTAAAATTGTCCGTGTTAGAGCAGATTTACTTGATGAGTTAATTAAATCAGGGCAGTTATTAGGAGTGAAATTTATAGCAGAGCTTGGTGTCCCATTATCACAGGTTAAAAGCATCTCGGGTACACCTCAGGATGGTAGTACTGAAACCTTGCCTCCTGATTCTAGTGACAAAAACCTTGTAATACAAAAATCAAAAGATGAAACCCAAGATAATGGGGCGACTATAATGCCTATCATAACAGAGTCATTTTCATTATCTGCTGAAGATTATGAAACGAAAAAGATCATTGTTACTGATTCTGATGATGATGATGATGATGATGATGTCATTTTCTGCTCTGAGATTTTGCCTGCAAAGGAGACTTTGCCAAATAACAATGCAGTGACACAGGTCCAGCCTAACACAGGCCCTGTTGCTATTTCAGATGTTGCACCTTGTGCTAGCAATAACTCTCCCCCTTTAACAAATATCACACCTACTCAGAAACTTCCTATTCCTGTGAATCAGGCAACTCTGAGCCAGACACAAGGAAGTGAACAATTGCTGGTATCTTCGGCTCCAACACATCTGACTCCCAATATTATTTTGTTAAATCAGGCACCACTTACTACACCACCAAATGTCAGTTCTTCACTTCCAAATCATATGTCTTCTTCAATCAATTTACTTATGCAGAATCAGCAGACACCAAATAGTGCTGTTTTAACAGGAAACAAAGCCAGTGAAGAGGAGGAGGAGGAAATTATAGATGATGATGATGATACTATTAGCTCCAGTCCAGACTCTGCAGTCAGTAATACATCTTTGGTCCCTCAGGCTGATACGTCCCAAAATACCACTTTTGATGGATCATTGATACAGAAGATGCAGATTCCTACACTTCTGCAAGAACCACTTTCTAATTCTTTAAAAATTTCAGATATAATTACTAGAAACACTAATGATCCAGGTTTAGGATCAAAACACCTAATGGAGGGTCAGAAGATCATTACTTTAGACACAGCTACTGAAATTGAAGGCTTGTCGACTGGTTGCAAGGTTTATGCGAATATCGGTGAAGATACTTATGACATAGTGATCCCTGTCAAAGATGACCCTGATGAAGGGGAAGCCAGACTTGAGAATGAAATACCAAAAACATCTGGCAATGAGTCAGCAAGCAAACGCATGAAAGTAAAACATGATGATCACTATGAGTTAATAGTAGATGGAAGGGTTTATTATATCTGCATTGTATGCAAAAGGTCATATGTCTGTCTGACAAGCTTGCGGAGACATTTTAACATTCATTCTTGGGAGAAGAAGTATCCATGCCGTTACTGCGAGAAGGTATTTCCTCTTGCAGAATATCGTACAAAGCATGAAATTCATCACACAGGGGAGCGAAGGTATCAGTGTTTGGCATGTGGCAAATCTTTCATCAACTATCAATTTATGTCTTCACATATGAAGTCGGTTCATAGTCAAGATCCTTCTGGGGACTCGAAGCTTTACCGTTTACATCCATGCAAATCTTTACAGATCAGACAATATGCATACCTTTCTGATAGGTCAAGCACTGTGCCTGTAATGAAGGATGATGGTATTGGGTATAAGGTTGATGCTGGAAAGGAACCTCCAGTAGGGACCACATCTACTCAGAACAAGCCAATGACCTGGGAAGATATCTTTATTCAGCAGGAAAATGATTCAATTTTTAAACAGAATGTAACAGATGGCAGTACCGAGTTTGAGTTTATAATACCAGAATCTTACTGAACTCCTTCGAAATATCAGGAAGTTTCGGTGTGGGTTAAGGGGCAGGGATTTCAGAAGACCTGTAAAACCAATTAAGGTGAAAATAAGTTACTTTGATCTGCCATATCATCTGAAAGTAGTCTAGTTGGATTATTGTTGATGGTTTTTAGAAGCAAATTTTTCTTAAAGTTTCAGTAGAGGTTGAGAATTTCCCCTCTCAGTATGTTTATATAGTTAGCTTTCAGCTCATTTAAAAGAGGCAAGAATGAAAAAGCATGGAGGGATAGTTTTCTGACTAGAATTTGAAGCAGTCTGAATGTTTTTTGAAAATAACTGGAGTTACTAGCATACCCTAGTACATCATACAACCTTCCCCTTCCATGTTAGCACTTTACTGCTGAATTCTCGGTTTTCTTACATTGAGACTATAAATGTGTGTTGTCTTGTATATGACATAAAAAACTTCTGAAACTGGTCTAGAATATTTCATAACAAATCTCCACTTGATTGTGTATTCTGCTAGTCCAAATGGATAGCAACCTCCTGCCTCCCCTCATGAAAATAGCCATGCAGATGAGTCTTGTATGAAGAATGACTTAGTTTTTAGTTAATTAGAATTAATCCTTGCCTTTATTGCCATTGTCTGTGAAAGATTTTGGTGGCTAGGCCATACTATCTACCTTTGCAATGTGATCTGTGTAGGCAGAAAAACTAGTGGAAAAACAAATCTTCATAATGCAGACAGGAGACACACAAGTTCTGTCACACTTTTTTTAATTCTCTGCTCTTACATAAGAGAGAATGGAATCAAGTGGAGATTTCCTTTTTGTTTGATATGGTTAATATTCCCATAAAATGTTAGAAAGTTTGAATCTAAAAGCCACCAAATTAATTTTTATACATAATCTAATTATGTATAAATCTTTGTAAATGGTAGATTTCATAGATGAGACTCATGTATTTTGGGTGAAGGCTATTGGCATATATTTTTAAATATTCATATTTCTTAGATCCTCTATAGGAAGTTTTCATTTGAAATAGTTGAAGCTGTGATCTAGTATGTTCCTTTCAGCAAGATCTTACTTTTACCCCTTCTAAAGTAAGTGCCATTCCATCTGCAAATTACCACAATATAGCAATCAGAAACTACACGTGGAATGGTATATAGGCTTGTCAATTCCCATTAATCTTGACAACAATAAATACCAGCTTTCTTCCTTTTAAAATGACATATTTAAACAGTTAGAAAGTAAAGTTAAAACTTAAGTGCTAGTAATAAAAGGAAGTGGGTTGGCACAAATATATAGCCTAGCATTTATAACAATTAACTTGTTGAACTGTAAATGTTTGTTTTTTTTTTTGCAAAGGAAAAAAATAATAGATACTGAAAAAGATTGTTGTGCATAGTTATTAGTCATTCATAAACTTGCTTAAGTATTTCTTAGTTCAACATAGATATTTCTTTCTCCTTACCATGTATTTAAAAAAAAATAGTCTATTTCTTAACTTTGAACTTAAAGCTTTAATCATAACTTCTCATATATACATCATTCAGTGTATCTTAAGTTGGTAGCTGAGGGTATTTGGCATCAGTATTTGCAATAATACAAGGAAAAGGAAGAATTATCCTTTGTTTACCAAGTGGTGGAGTGATGTGCATTTATCTGTTTTCTGTTCTGTGAGTCTAGGCCTTCAAACCATTTTATCAACTAAACCTAGAAAATTTGAAATCATCTTATAACTTAAGACTCTGATCTCTGAAATCACCATATCTGTTTCTTTTCTGTGTAGATATAACATTACTCTCTGATTATAAAGTGTTCTCAGTGGAAATTTGAGTTTCATTAATGTTATTTCAGCAGTTAGTCATAATTACTTATGCCATTGTAAATGATACTGATGCCAGCAGAGCTTCCAGGTCTTTTGGACTCAACTGTAGATAAATTAGTTTGTTATAATAAAACTTGGTCATTTCTACAAGCTTATTATGACAAGCCAGGAATTAATTCTATAATTGAAAACTATCAGTTCTGAGTAATATTGGTATAATTATTTGCTGCTGCTGTGCTAATTCTGAATATGAAAATTTAAAAATCTGTCATACTTAAAGGTATCTTCCGGAGTTTTTTGGGAGGYGGAAAACTGGAAATTAAATTTCAATTTTGCCAGAAAACTCTTACTTGCATGTGTCTCAGGATCTTCAGTTTTTCTAGAAGTTTCCTTCTTCAAAGTTCAAGAGTTCATGTAGAATACTCCTTTTGGACAAAAACTCTTCACTCCCAGTCTTTACTGTATTGGAAATTTGTAGCAAGCTGCTGTTTAAAACTTACTATGGGGTTTTCTATTTTATACTTAGCTTTACAGCTATTGAACTTCCTTTATTCTTTCAGGTGGGCTTCAAATTTGTTCTAATGTGAAATTACCTGTAAATATTCTGGACAGTAACTATTCAAAGTAGAAATTTGTTACTCAAATGCTCAGACTAAGCAGAGATTTTAAAATGGTATAACAGTCTTGCAGGATTAAACATTTTAATTGATTATTATCATCTGGGTGGTAATTATCCCCTATGTACAACCACTATGAGGGAATAATGCCACATTTTTTCCACTGTACTAAGAAGATAAAACAATCGGTAAACATTGATCAAGGTATTTTGTATCGTCAAGGCATGCATATTCTAAGTAATTAAGTGCTAATTCAGCATCACTGGCTTCTTCACCTTTGTCAGTCATATGAAACCCTGTTCATTTCCCCTAATACTGTAATGTTCATACTTGTACAATTCTCCGTGTCATGACTTTAAGTTCTACTTTTCATTAACCATCATCTGATATTAGTTCATAGAGCTTCTTATGGCAAAATAAAATGTTTTAATTCTAACTTCTGAGTGTGTTTCTTATTAAGAGTATATTTAAGAAATTATATAGGAGTTTATATTCTGTTGTTTTTCAATTTTTGTAGCAGGGAACTGGAGCTGTGTTTCTGATGACCGCATGGCAAAATATTACATTAGTTTTTTATTTTATTTTTTTATTATTATTTATTATTATTATTTTTTGGTACCAGGGATTGAACCCAGAGGGGCCTAACCACTAAGTCACATCCCCAGCCCATTTTTTTTTGAATTTTTTTATTTTGAGACAGGGTCTCACTTAAGTTGCTTAGGGCCTCAGTCTCCGAAGTTGCTGAGATTTCAGGCGTGCACCACCACACTTGGCCCCATTAGATTTTATATATTGGTTAATCATGTTTCATTGTTTCTTGAACCATAATAGTCCAAATGAGTTAGTTACTTTAGAGCATTTGCTAAACTTTTATAGATACCATAAGGACACCTGTAAATGGATAAGGAGGAGGATAGTTTTATTAATTTGAATCATCACAAAAGCAGTCTGGGTTTTCAACATGGCAGTGATACAGATTTTAAGCAACATCCAGTTTATACAGGTTCTGGATTAATATTTAATGTTTCATGCCCTGTTCAATACTCTAAAGCAGAATTAGGAATAAAGCGGTAAATATTACAAAATGCAGTCAAGATACATATTGGAAATACAAATTCCTTCATTACAGCAAATGTTTTGCAAAAGAGTAAAGCAATGTAATAAAAAAGAAGCTGCTGAAATTAAGTGTTACAAAATCTATACTGTTTCAAGTTATTTTGTAAAGTAAGAAAAATACATAGAAATGAGTCATAGAATCTCAACACTTTAAGAAATGTAGGATATACTGTGTAATGGTGCCTTTAAAAATATACACGTTCACTAAAGCAAAAGGTAAAGTGTAAATGGCAAAAAATTCATTTTGAGTATTACAAGTTGACATTTGTATAGTAAGTCAATTGGTTATTAGTCCCTTTTTGAAATCCAATAGAATTTTAATCTGCTCAGAACTGTAAAAAATAATAGGGATTTTGTATAACGCATAGGATTATAGATTTTTAGATTTGAAATCTGGATAAGACATTCATGATGCTAAAAATTAAATGATATTTTGCAAACATTTACTGTGAACAATGAGTGCACTAGTTGTGCCTTGATGATTCTTAATGGTCAGGTGTCTACAAGGTAGATGGGAGCACCAGCATTTGTCTGCTACCTCTAATCCATCAAGTCAGGAGGTAGCAAAATTGGCTGGAAAATTTTCCAGTATATGTTCCATGTTTGCAGAACTGTCTAATTAGGTACCCTCCTGTAGCCCTGTATTTTTACATTATACAAGTGTAGGATTAACAATCTGTCTTTAAACCAATCAATTCTCAGGTTAACACAAGATCCCAATGAAAGTGTTCATTCTGAAGTGAAGGCATGGATGCCAAAGTGTCTTAAACTCATCAGGTTGATGGTTTAAAGCTATGTATAATTAAGAGAACTGTACAAATACCACAATGTACCAGATGGATTTTAAATCTACGGTAACACTTAAGAATTTGTCAAGTTGGCTACATTTGAGGTTTTGCAGACTTAAAGCAGCATTGTAACACTCATAATCTTGAATTGAATGCTGTCATGATTGGTCTCAACAGAAAAAGGACCAAAAAGAGCAGTGGCATTAAAATACAGATGATTCTTTTAGGGTGGGGTGCAGGATACGTGCGGTTTGCTGGGGTTGAAGCACAATATTTGAAGATTAAATAGTCACAAAGATTAGTAACAATTCATATTACAACCCAACCTAATCTAGCATTTTTAAACTCTGAATTTCAACTGTAAGATTTGTATCTCCTGTAGCAAATGCATTTTGCAATGATGCAACATGTAGTAAAACCACAGTCTCCTAAATTATCAGATGTATTATCGAGATCTACTTAGAACAGCTTATATGTTGCTCTGTATTTCAGTGCTTCCAGATCAATCCTGTTTCCCACTACTCTAGAAGAGGGAATATTGCACTTTTCCCTTTAGGAGGTACCAATAACAAAAGCTGAGCTAAATGATCACAACAGCCACTTTTACAATACAGAGAAGAAAGGAGTGAGATATGGGCAGCTTTTTTCAACATCCAAATGAGCAAACAAAATCTTAGCCAGAACTCTCTGTATTGGAACTACTGTGTAGCTCCATCAGCTGGGAAATTTCCTTAAGGACTGACATTAGTAGTAGGGAAAGATAGGGCCTATAAGCTGGGCGCTTCAACCAGGGTGCTAGGGTGGCAATCTGCCAAGAGCCTGAGGACAACACTCCTTTACATAAAGTGAAACAGATGGCAACCATGCTTTTGCTGAATACAGAGGTGGAGCATAGGGTAATGCAGGTCCAAACATGACAAGCTTCTTGCTGGGTTGGTTCCCAGCCTCACTTAAAAGTGTGAGCTGCCCTTCTTGGGAGTGCTGGGTTCAGCTTAGCCATCCCTGCTCCGCACTGATAACAAATAAGCTTCATCCCTATCTCTCCCTAGCCTGGCAGGCCATTGCAAAACTTTATGCATAAGAGTCACACTTAAAATTTTGTACCCTACACACTTCCACTAAAGCAGAAATACAAAAGCCACAAAAATCTCAATAGCCAGCAGGCATTCATCTTTAGGGACTGTAAGGTGGTGGCTTTTCAAAAGGTGGATAGTAGGGTGGAGAGTAACGGGGTGGTGCACTCGAGGACCACATGTAGCTGGGCGAGGGAGAAGCAGACTGGGGCTCATCAGAGAGTCCAGAGGGAGGGGAGGATGGAAAGACACTGGAATGCTGTGTAATAAAAAGAAAACATCAGCTTAGACAGTGAGTTTGAGTTTGTAGTTCCATGAATAATCATTACTACATAAAAATGAATATTCAGATTTATTTCAAAGAGCTTCTAAACCTTACAAAGTTGATGAGGGATGTGAAACAGGTGGTCCCATGTTCTCTTACTCATTCAGGCTGCAAGC